GCGCGCCCCGCACCCGAGGGCTGCGGAGAGATATTTTGGGTGGCAGGAGGCCCCTCGTCATTTCCGCCGGGCAGCTAGTCGTGCTGGGGGCTTCACTCCCGCGCGTGAGGCGAGCGGGCAAGTTGGCTGAGGGCGTGCGGCAGAGGCTGCTTCCCTCGGTGACGCGACCCCCTCAGCAGCTCAAGCCATGAACTGAAGCTCCCTAGGGACGGAGACCCGAGCGGAGCGGCGGAGGCAGCAGCAGCAGCAGCAGCAGCCGCCGCCGCCGCCTTAGCGGGAACTGAGCAGACCCGGCGCGGAGCCACGACTCCTGCACGTTTCCCTCCCCGTCGCCGTTCCTGCCAGCGGTTGGCTAAGAGACATTACAGCCGCGAGACCCGACACACAAAAGCCGCTTTCAACGCGCCGCCCGCCCAGAGAGGCTGCGGTCAGCAAGGGACCCCACCTGAGAGCGGTTCGGACTGCTGAGTTCGTTTTGTGTCTGAGCTCCGCGCTCTGCACGGAACCGACCCCGTACCCATGGCTCTGATAATGGAGCCCGTGAGCAAATGGTCTCCGAGTCAAGTAGTGGACTGGATGAAAGGTAATGCCCGCTGCGGGGAGGGTGAGGCGGCACTGGGGCGCGGGGCACCAGTGCGAGGTTAGGAGGGGGCGCCCGCCGCGCCAGAGCCCGCCACCGCGGCTTCCACTGGCGTACGTCGTACGCGTCGGGGCGGGGGTCCTCCAGGACTGGCAGGGGCCTGAGGTCCCCCGTCTCCTTTTGTCTCCAGCTAGAGGGGCGCGGAGCGGCCAGAGAGCTAGAGGGCAGCGGGCGCCACCCGGTTGGAGGCAGGAAGTCGGGAGGCGGAATACCGGCGCATCTTGCGTACTCCCCGCTCCCCTTACTGCCCCTGGGCCAGGAGGACGTGGCGACCCTTATCTCCTAGCTCAGGGTGGACTCCCCCAGGACCTGCTCCCCTGGTCGCCCTTCCCTGGCCCCTTTGTTCCTGGGAAAGCTGACGCCCCCTCGGCGGCCGCCCTTGCCAGCCGCCTTCCCCAGCGCAAACTCTCCCAAGCAACTTTTAGCCCGCATAATGGGGTCAGGACTCGGCCGCCCCCATTTGGAGCCTGGCATCCCCCCACACCCAGGTTTGGCTGAGGATGCCCAGGGCGGGGGTACGTGCTACTTTGGGGGTGAGGACATCATGCTTCCCCTGGGACAGCATCCTTGCTGGTATCTGTGGGCTGCCTGCAGCGCATCCCTTCACATCCTTTCCCTTCTCTGCTTTCTCCCTTTCAAGCCAGTCGAGGTTTTGGACCTCACGGCTTTTTATTAAGGGCTCAACGCCAGGTGTAAGGTGATGCGCATTCAGGTACCTTCACATTTCTTCCATCTTGAAGGTTCCCCCCTTTTTGCCCCTGGCGATTGATAATAACCACAGTTATAGACAATCGCCCTCCTAATCGCAAACGTGAGCTTTTTCTCTAATCCCTGGGCTTTCCTGTCTCACTACCTCCCTCTGTTGTCTGAGTTAAGGGGCTTGTAGAGGACTCCTCCACCCACCAACCCCTTGGATTCCCAGGCCCAACTCTTCCCTAAGATTTTGGGAATTGAAGAGGGGATAGATGGGATGGAATGGAATAAAGAATCCGTGGCCACACTTGGGAAATGTTAGCGTTTTGCTCGAGGTCATACCTGAGCAAACTCTAGGTAGATCAGTCAGGGACCAAAGGCTTATTATCGCTGAAAATGCCCGTTCCTACGATGAAGGAGCCCCTTCTTGGGCTTACTTAACAGTCAGACTTTCTAAGCTCCAGATAATTTAGAATGAGAGGTGAGGTGATTGGAAGGGATTGAGAGTGACAGGGAGAAACTGAATTTTTTTGCTCATTCTTTTCCCCAGCCTTTTTGGCCGCTTGCTTATTCTTGTGGATTTTTCTTTATTTTGCTTTCATTTTATTCCCTTACTTGCCCCTTTATTCCTCATTTACTTTGCTTTTCTTTTCTAATATGTGGAAACTGTTTTGTAACTGCTAAGCACAGTACAAATGTGAGTGAATTGAATTAAACCCAATACATTATTTATCGACTGCCCCCCTGTGTGCAGTGCATTGTGCTAAGGTGCCATGGGGGATATAAAGATGACTAAGACAAAGTCCTGCAGTGGCTCATCTTTGCTGCTGCTTTTTCTCTTTATATATTTGCTATTGAAATTCCAGTATCTTAGATTCCCACCAATTCTCCTCACTCTCCACCTTCTTCTCTGTTTCTCAGTGATGGAAGAAAGAGCCAGAGTATATGCAGGAAGCAACAATGCTTAAAACCCCTTTCTTTGAATTTTTCTAAAAGGTTACTGTAGTTTGAGTCTGTTGCTGAAATATGAAAAGACAAGCTATCTTGGCTCCATGGGAGTCTGATTACCTTCATAGACTACCTTTTGCAAATTCCCATGATGCCTATAGTGAGTGCTGCATACTCAGTCTCCACCTCCCACCCTCCCAGTTACATTCTTGCAGTTTCCCCTCTCTCCATAGTTTAGGTCCACTGAAGCAAGTAGAATATATGATGCAAATATTCTGACACACATTATTAGTTGTTCAGTACACTAGTCCTTTAAAAATCTTTCCAGCCTAAAATGTGGCTTCTTTGAAGTTAGGTTAACATTGTTAGCTGTGATTTGAATTTTTTTTTAATACATAAGTCGAATACCTTGTTTCATACCTGTTGGTGACGCATTTTAGAGCTATTTGAAAAGATGAATTGGGTAGCCAAGATAGAGTTTGTGTATCGTATACAAATATGACCGGAAGAGAATGAATGATATTTCAAATCCCAAAGTACTTCCTGCTGAAATTTCCTTAATATTCATATGTATTTGATTTGAGATATTATCAGAAAATGAGATTTAAAAAAATAGTTGCATGAAACAAACAACATTTCCTCAACTTGTAACTTACACTGTTACCTTAATTTTTCTCTCTTTGCCCTTTTCCCCAAATAAAGTTTAACAAAGGACATTTTAAAAATATTTTTCATCCTGCAGTAATGCAGTAATATTTAAAAGTCACCTGCTAATTTAGGCTGTAGCTTTGAGAGGCTAAACCTCATTTAGTGTTGTATAATATGTAGTGTTGTAAAGGCAGTACCAAAGAATGAACAAGAGTCTTGAACAACTGCAACACTGTAGGAGTTCTTCAGAGGATGCTCCTAATGAGACAGTTTCATCATCCTTAACATTGAAAGCATATAGCATATGCTTTCTGCTGGTCACAATCATAAATAGTTATAACTGTTTAAGTAAGGTACATTCTTTATGTACTTTCTAGGGTATTTTTCTCTTCACTAAACAGAAAAAGAATCATTAAGTGTATAAGAATAGGAGTGGCCATATATTTATGATTCTAGACAATTTGTAGAAGTGGTATAGAAACTCAGTCCCAGAGAGGGAAATGAACAGGGAAAAAAAGCTGACAAGATTATTAAGCTTTAGTGGCATATATTCAAGATTATTTATGAGGGACGATTTATACATTGCAATTTTGGTGCAATGTATAAATGGATTCATTTAGATTGATTTTTATTAAAATATTTGAGGGAGATGGAAATATAAAATTTATATATTGTTAGTAGTAAAAATATAAGGAAATCCTTGTATTCTTTTGCTCACCAACTTCATTATTTGTAAAATCAAATACCAAATTTTCTACTGACAATAAAAATTGAATATAACACAGTGTCAATGTTATTTCCAGTAAATACATGAACTCCTTGTGAGTCAGTGAAATAAGTAGCTATATCACAAATTATCCTGATAGTACTTCTGGCTATTTGGAGGTATCTTCTAGACCTTCAAATTAATTTTTAAAATTAATCTTATAAAAATGTTTTTGGAGAAAACCAAATACTCATAAATTAGCATTTGAAACTAACCTTCAGTTGGAAATTGCATCCAATCCTCTTGTAGTTTTTATATTTTAAAACATAAACTCCTTTCAAGGTAAATAAAGGCAAATGAGTTATTGGAAAAAGCCATAGGCAGAAAAGTAGGCCAGTAATTGTTCTAATTTTTCCTCCGTCTGTTATTCTAAAATAAGTCATTTCTCAGCTCCTATCTGTCCCCTTGCAGGGCCTGGAAATAATCTGCAGTTGTTTGAGTCTGCAGACCTTCTCTACTTTTTTGTCCACTGAAATATAACAAAAAACCCTGAATGCTTTAGGGCCCCTGTTATTAACTTTATTATTAATTTTCCTAGTCCATGTCACACCCAGTCATTCCAATTTTTTTCTTACATCTTTTCCAACTCTGAGACTCATTCAAAATATCCACATGACTAAGACAGTTATTTTTCTAGGACTCAGCTCCCTACATTACATTCTTCCAGTAATCTTTAATCTCTCTGGGTCAGATAAAATGATTATGATTTTTCAGAGTTAACCAATAGGCCCCATTTTGCTGGTCTTTAAACATCTCTGTGATTTAGCTCCAGCCAATTTTGTATTATTATGATTCCTAAAATAATTAAATTTTTAAGATAGCCTTGTCTCAACCCATTCCACAATCAACTGCTCTACCCTTTCCTGTTTACTATAAATCATTTCTTCAAGAGGCATTCTCTGACTTCTAATTTCTGTCGTGATGACTCAGCCATCTTGAGGATAGAAAATAAAATACATTCTTTTAGGTATAAAAAGCAAAACCAATGTTTTGTATACAATCCTATAGTAGAGGAAAATGTAGTGATTATATAAAGTCTAGTCAGTGTAAAAGTTTAATGCTGTAAAGGAGAATGTATTTGATAAGGCAGAGATGTTTTGACAGGTACAATGCTCTTTAGTAATTCTTTTTGCCCATCATAGGACCCAGAGCTGAGGTTGAAATTTGTCTTTATTAAATAAAGAAAATGTCAGAATTTTGAGTTCAACTGTCTTGAGAGAGAGATTGGAAATAATTTTCTGGCAGGAACTACAAATAAGCTTAAGTGATCAAATTGTTTGTATCACTTCCTTTTGAAAAATTAGGGTATTTTTTTCAATTGAAAGGTGACTAAATTGGCACCAACAATCATCTACTTTGGATTTGACTTTTTTGGGGAACAGGAATTCTTGTCATTTTATGTAAAGAAGGACTGTATCTTTTCCATACGTAGAATTTCATTCAGAAGACATGTTATTTTTCTTATAGTGTTATTAATATTTGCTCCTTAATGTAACACTCATGATTTAGTGCAGATTAGGAACAAGGAGTATATTTATGTAGATATATTTGCTCCATAGATATTATTTTCTCAGTGCTTCTGCATGGAAGGTACTTTAATGGATTGTTTTAAATTATTCTCTGCTTTGGGGAAATTAGCCTCTGTAAGGCATGGTAGTGACATTGACAAACTTAGGCAAAGACAGAGAAAGGTACCAACTAGCACACGTAGTAATTTTTTTAAAAGCTGTATATGAGCACCATTGGAAAGAGAAGATGATAATTTTATTGAATCAGAAAGGGGTCTGTGAGGAGGGTGGGGTTCTAGCAACTATTTAAGCTACTTATTTACTTAAGGCATAATCTAAGAGGGATGTATACTAAATGTAGCGGCACAGCAAGAAACTCT